TCATTGTAAAGAGGACCAGGGTGGTGGTGGTGAGGTAGGTAATAGTGCAACAATTAATTTTTTTTTAAGTGAACTGGGAGGGGGGGGAAGAGAAAGGAAAAAATGTGCAACAGTGAAAATCTAACTTCTCTGTAAAAGTTCATTAAAATCACAATGAAAAGAAAACGTTATTAAAAAAAATACCATAGTTCGGATCAAGCATTTTAATCTTTCCATTGCCATCACTACTCTTCAGCTCGTTGGAGATGTCTTTGATAGAAAATTTTCCCAATGTGACACATCTTTGGTTTCATCACTGCTGCAAACATGGGTGTTGATCGTGGATTCAAATAAAGGAAATCATTGACAGTGTCAGTCTTTTCTCCATCTATTTTATTTTGCCTTTGGTCCAGTGTTGAGGATTTTTGTTTTCTGGATATTGAGAAGTAATCCATATTGAAGCATATCGTTTCTGACTTTCTGTGTTAAGTGGTTCAAGTCTTCACTTCCCACAACCTAGGTTGTATCATCTGATTACAACAGCTTGTTGATTCTTCCTCCAATCTAGATTCTGTAATCTTTTTCATATAGTGCAGCTTCTCTAATGATTTACTCAACATAGAGATAGACATAAAGAAAAAAAATTCACTGTATAATTTACTTATTCTACATTATTATATATTCTAATGGTTATCAGTGTGAGTGTATCAGAGATGATGAAGACGGCACAGGATAGGACAAGTTTCAGATTAATTGTTCATTGGGTCACAATGAGTTGTATTCAAATCGACAGCAACCATGGTAATCAGTAGAAATAATTTCACTTATATAATTTCTTTTCAACTCACTAACATCTACGCTTTATGTATTGTATTAAGGGAAAGAAAATGTCAATTTTAAAGTTAAATTTTATTGTTCCTCTCAATGCCTTTAACAAAATAAATTGCTTTTATTTGCACCTCCCTTACAGCTAGGGATTTTCTTTTTTGTTTTTTCTTTGTGGTTTTTTTATTTTATTGGGAAAAACACATTGGGGGTACAAAGAGGTGAAGGTTGGGGGCAGAAGGGTGAGGATGGTCAGGGATAAAAATTGCAGGGGTGCAGTTGCAGAGCTGCACAATTTGGTTGGTGAGGGGAGCAGGGAAAGAAATGGAAAGGATCCAGTGGGAATCAAATGCTACAGGGGAATGGTAAGCATATTCCAATGGTGATTAAACCATCTGTCTTATTGATTTGGGAACTTGATGCAGACTCTCTGGCTTCTTCATGTTGAACAGGGGTGTTGATGTGAAGGGGGAAAGGGAGGACACTTTATCACCTTATTGGTGGTCTTGGGTTAAAGCTGCTTGCCTTCTTCTGTTTGTTAGAAGATATTTTCCTGTCATTTGGTCCCCTCTGGACTGCAAAGTGTTTTCCCAGGTGGGTCCAGTGGGGATGGCTGATTGAACCCAGAGGCTCTATCCTCCTTTGCTTCCTTAGCTGGCAGTCGTATTTCCTTTTTGTCACTGGCACTGGGTTCAGGGTCAGGTCTGGAGTAAAACTCAGTGTTAAGGTTACCTATAGGAAAGGGAGCAAACCTAGAGAGAAAAAACTTGTGAGTTACAAATAGAAGGGCTTTGGGGGTGTTGCTTACAGGTTTACTGGGGGAGAGGGTGGTGAAAGTAGCCTAGATATAATTCTCTGGATACCCTAGGCATTTTTTTTCCCACCTAGGGGTCAGATGGCACAATCTGGGAACTGAGGAGCTCACACTGAGGGCCGTGACGGCTCGCCCCAAGCCAGGGGCCGAAGACAGCCCGCCCCGAGCAGAGGGCCGTGACGGCTTGCCCTGAGCCGGGGGCCGAAGACAGCCTGCCCCGGGCAGAGGGCCATGATGGCTTGCCCCCAGCCAGGGGCCGAAGACAGCCTGCCCCGAGCAGGGCAACACCCCCCAGGGGCTGGCTGGTACACTTTCCCTCCAATTGCCCCCACCCCAGTCTGGACCTATCACCTGACCGAAGACTATGTGGCCAGGGACAGTGTCCCCAATTCCAGCGCCACCACTTTTACCCTCCCCCCCCCATAAGTGGTCATACTATAATTTGAAGTAGGTGTCACTGCCCTCCCCCTTTATAAATGGCAAAGGGAACCTGAGAGTTGTGAACAGACTCCCCCCAGGTCTAACAGCTTTTGGCAGAAGCATTCAACAGATCAAAATTTGTGGTGCATTTAGGATGTTGGTCCTCTTGGACATGCTGCCATTGTTAAGTGTCATCAAATAGACAACTCACAGTGACTTTCAACAATCCATTGTATTGGTGATCATCTTCTCTGGCCTGTCCAAGGAAACCCAAACCTGCAGGAGGTGGGGCGGCCGCTGGCTTCTCCTGCGCCCACCATCTTGGCTCCAAGATTTCTCCCCAGAACAAGTCCACTTTGTGTCAGTGTGGCAGCTCTGCTGCACCAGTCTCAGGGAGGCCCAGTGCCTACCATCCATCTTGGGTGAGGGAATCCGTGGGTTCCAGCAGTGGGAGCTTCATGGAGCTGTGACAGCCTTGCCATGTGGGCACGGCGGGAGGGGACTGGGAGCTGCGAGACTCACCCATTCCTCCTTGGGAATCCTTTAATTCCTGTTGTTGAGCCTTGATCTTCACTGAAGACCAGTCATCAACTGTTTAACTGTTCAATTATCCATAAACAGAGGTCTGTAGAAGACCATAATGGCCCTCCTCCAAGTGGTCCACTGCTCCCACAGCTCACCACGTTGTCTCTGCTGCCGTCACCATCTTGAATCTGGATCACAATATTTTCAAGTTACTTAGCTATATCCAAGATCAAGCTTATTAGACATGAGGGGTGAGGCTGGAAGTCATGTGCTCAGTGGGCAGGGCTCCGAGGAGGTAGGGTGGAGCAGCTCGTGGTGCTGGTGTCTGAGAATGAAGACGAGGAGTGCTGCGCTGACCTGTGCCTGCAGCTCCTGGGTGCTTACGTGGCCCAGAGCCTGTGGCTGGCTGTGGGAGCCTGGGAGCGCTGCATGGGGTCTGCAGAGGTCGAGCGGCTGCTGCAGTTCTTCCTGGGCAGCAGTGCTGTGGAGGAGCCGCAGCCGCTGCTGGTGGTGCAGCTAGGGCCCCGAGGCCTGGCTGTGTGACCCGGGCTGGACACGACACCTGCATGCCAGCTGGCCCACGCTAAGGAGCTCTTTTTCCTGCACACTGGCCGGAGCCGCCGGGGCCTCACAGCCTCTGTGGTGCAGTGCTCTGTGCAGATGTGCTCGTGGAGCATCTGGCCATGCTGTTCTCAGAGGTGAGGGTGGGAGGGTGGCCGAGCGGGCCAGGACTGTGGTGGGTGGGAGGAGGGATAGGGGTAAGTCCAGAGCCAGGAACGTGGGGTCGGAGAGGTGAGCACAGAAATGGGCTGGCACGGGGCGGGGGTAGGGGGGCTGCAAGGGCTAGAGCCCTTGATTTTGAACATTTCTTCATGTGTTTGTTTGCCATCTGAATGTTTTCTCTGGTGAAGTGTCTGTTCATATTCTGCACCCATTTTGAAATTGGGTTGTTTACTTTTATCTTGTTGTGGTGCTCGAGTATTCTATAAATTCTAGATATAAGTCCCTTATCAGACATGTAATTATGAAATATTTTTGCCCAGTCTGTGGCTTCCCTTTTTACCCTGTCAGAGAAGTTTTTGGATGTGCAATAGGGATTTGATTCTTAAGAGGTCCCCTTCCTCTATTTTATTCTCTCATGGTTGCAGGTTTTCCAGGATGCTTGGAAGACTGTTTATGTGTGGCTTAGTGCTTCAATGGTTCTTCAAAACTTTTCTCTAATGAAGTTATAGCCCTTGGTTTTAGTCCTAGGCCCTTGATCCACTTTGAGGAGGTTTTTGTGTATGGTGTGCACAGTATGGAAGGCAGTATGGTGCTTTCTCAAAATGTTTTAATTAAAAATACCACTTTAACCAGCAATTCCACTACTGAGAATATATGCTAAAGAAACCAGAACTGCCACCCAAGTAGATACAAGCACACCCATGTTTATTGCTGCATTGTTCACAATAGCAAAGAGTTGGAAACAACCCAAGTGTCCCTGAACAAATGAATGGATAGTGAAACTGTGGTACATTAAGGCAATGGAGTATTATGCAGCACTGAAAAATAAAGAACTCATGAACTATTATTCAAAATGGGTGACCATGGAGGACATTATGCTGAGTATATTATCTCAGTCACAAAAAGAAAATAATGCCACTGTTATAAAACAGGACTGACATGGAGGTTGGGGGGAAAGTAAGAAAAGAGCAAATAAATTGAAACAGACGAGGGAGAGAAGTGTATAAAAGGAATATTTGATTAGGTATTATTGACATGACAAGAGTCCAGAATAAGAGCTGCATAGTAAAGTAATCGGTGGCAGGGGACTGTACAACAATGAAATTACTCTTTTTCCCATAGAAAAAAGTGAACTGCGGGCATGGTGGGTAAGGAGGAAAATGTGCCATAATGAATGAATGGAAATTCAAGTTCTTTATAAACTTTCATTACAATCTCAGTAGAAAAAAAGAAAATATTTTTTTAATGAGCAGAACAAATTTTCAATGGATTCATAGAGAACTCTTTTGCCCTGGAGAAAGTTTGAGATTAGGGGTAAAGGAGGGAGTTTCAGCAGCAACGAGAAGATATAACAGTTGGGAAGCAATGACATCTCCAGCTAAAAGACAGTGTTGTTGTTGCTCAGTACCACGGAGTTGGAACTGACCCTTGCTGACCCTCCCAAGGGACTTCAGAGGTAGTACATTGCACTGGAAGAGATTGCCCATCTTTTTCTCTCAAGCTCTGGTGATTTCAAGCAGCATGTGTTTGGGATTGCAGCACAGCTTCTTACCACTAGGCCACTAGAGTTTCCTAAAAAGGCAGTACGTTTAAGATAAAATGCAAGGATTATTAATACACATGTTTAATATATAAACGACTGCCTGTGAGGTTGCCTTTCGGTCCTTATGGCTCAGGTGTTTTACGTTTTTCTCTTTTCTAGAAGTTTCAGCAGCTACATGGAACCAGAAAACCAAACATATGTTCCAGAATTTACGCTTTTGGGGCTCTCAGAAGAGATAGAACTGCAGCCCCTCCTCTTTGGGATGTTCCTGTCCATGTATCTGGTCACCTTCACTGGGAACCTGCTTATCATCTTGGCCATCATCAGGGACTCCCACCTCCACACACCCATGTACTTTTTTCTCTCCAACCTCTCTTTAACAGACATCTGTTTCACTTCCACCACAGTCCCAAAGATGCTTCTGAATATCCAGACAGAAAACAAGGTTATTACTTACGAAGGCTGCATCACCCAAATGTATTTTTTCATGATTTTTGGAGTCTTAGACACTTTCCTGTTGACAGTGATGGCCTATGACCGGTTTGTGGCCATCTGTCATCCACTCCACTATACAGTCATCATGAGCCCCAAGGTGTGTGGCCTCCTACTTCTGATATCCTGGTTATTGACTTTTATGCATTCTTTAGTACAGTCTTTAATGATTTTGCGGCTGTCTTTTTGCACAGAGGTGGAAATTCCCCACTTTTTCTGTGAACTTTATCAGGTAATCCAACTGGCTTGCTCTGACACTTTCCTCAATTACTTAGTGATGAGTTTTGCAGCAGGGCTATTTGGTGTTCTACCACTCTCTGGGATCCTTTTCTCTTACACCAAGATAGTTTCCTCCATTTTGCGAATTTCATCAGCTGGGGGAAAGTATAAAGCCTTTTCCACGTGTGGTTCTCACCTCTCAGTGGTTTCCTTGTTCTATAGTACTGGTTTTGGGGTTTATCTCAGTTCTGCTGCTTCTGAAAACTCTAGGGCCAGTGCAATAGCCTCAGTGATGTATGCTGTGGTCACACCCATGCTGAACCCCTTTATCTACAGTCTCAGAAACAAGGACATAAAACAGGCCCTACGAAAACTTCTTTGATTGAAGGACATTCTCTACATTATAACATCATTTTTAGACGAGATTTACTTTTGAACAGCAGAGCTCAAAACAATGAAGACTTAACTCATGGCAGATTTTTCAATTCGCATGTCCGCATTATTTCCAGAGTTAATGTCTTTGGTATTATACATGATAAACAATGGCTTATTCTGTATTTCTTTTTCCAAATTTTTTTAAACCAAAATTTCTTCATGACTAGTCAATTCCCTCAGGATGACTACAGATGATTCCTGATGAAATAGGTCTTTTGCTACTAGATAAGGAAAGCGAGCATACAATTGTGAAGGGCAACAACCTGACTGTTGTTCTCAAACCCCCAAAGCTATCAATTTCCAGATTGTACTTTTGCAAAATCTGATCCCTTCTGGCATGAAATATTTGACATTCCTGAGCTCGTTTACATTTAATTGATTTTCATTCTACAGTTCTTATGCTTTTTGTTTGTTAATGTTAATTACAATTGATCAATGATATTGATTACAACATGCCACCAAATTCTCATGGCACCCACCCTCTCTTTTCCTTCATCTATACATGCACCACTAATCCCTGCTCCCCTCTCCATTCCCTTCCATCCATGTCAGCCTTCACTGCTCCATGATTGTTTCTGTGTGTAAACCTTTCTTTGACTTTTTTTTTTTACATTCAATAAGTTAGCCTGCCCTGACCATGGTTAATGGCAATACGTGCAATGTCTGATCATCCATGCATTTCACATCGCCCTTACCATCACCTATTCCAATACAGTGTTCATTAATTTCCTACTTCCTTTCCCAAACCCCTCTATTTGTCCTTTTTAAAAGAGTGGTATTATACAGTATTTTTCTTTTTCAGACTGAGTTATTTCATTTAGCATAACGTCTCTTAGACTCACGTATATTGTGTCATGTTTTGAGAGTTCATAATTTTTCAATACTGTGTGAATGTGCTTCAGTTTCTCTGTCCATTTGTTTGTTGATGGGTTCTTGGGAAGTTTCCATCTATTTTCTATTGTGGATAATGCTGCAGTAAACATGGATGTGCATACATCAGTTCATGTAATTACTCCTATTTCTTTAAGGTTTATTCTCAGTAGTGGAATAGTGGAGGGGAAAATTATTCTTTTCAATATAAGTAATTTAAACTATTTTAGTTAGAAGCTTTGTAAGCATGTACTTACAAAAGTGTGAAAACTAATGATTTTTTTCCTTCAAGTATTGAAAATGACTTCTGGAACAACAACGAAAAATGGAGGAAAGTCTTGAAGAAGTTGCAAGCAGAGTGCTTCTTGGAAGCTTCATCTCACATGCTTCATACTCACATAGGTTGTTGCTAGGAGAGGTTATTCCTTGGAAATTGACTTCCTGCTTGAGGTGGTGGTAGGATGGCTAAGGAGAGGAAGACCCACAACTACTTGGGTTGACACAATCATCACAACAGTGGGCTTGAGTGTATCAGAGATTGTGGGGTTGGCACAGAGTAGAATAAGGCTCAGATTGGTTGTTCATAGAGTGACTATGAGATGTAATTGACTTGATAGCACTTAACAACAGCAACAATAACAAGAGCGTTAGTATAGGGAGATTTGGTGGCCTAGTGGTAAGGAGCTATGCTGCCATACCAAAGGCCCTCAGTTCAAATCCACAAGCTGTTCAGTGGGAGTAAGATGGGCAATCTACTTTCATGCAGTTTACTGCCTTTGAAAACTTACTGGAGACTCAGCTAGGATTCATTTCAGACTACCATACACCACCACCACCAGAACAACAACAAAAACAGCAGCAATAACAACAAATCAATGAGAGTAGATTGTCCACTTCCCCCCTGTAGCAGATAGTGGATTCAAAACTTCTGCCTTTGAGAGTGGACAGCATCACATCTTACCTATTAGGCTACCATAATGCCCTTAAAAATCAAAGAAGCAGACAAAAATATTTAAAAGGGGCTTGTTCTTGTTGTTGTCATGTGTCATCAAGTCGCTTCTGACTCATAGCGACCCTATCTATGTACAATAGCCCCCAAAATTGGTCTGACCTGTGCCAATCGTACCATCTCCAACACCCACCCTGATTACCCCAGTTACTGAATCAATCCACCTCTTAGAGGGTCTTCCCCTCTTGCACTGTCCCTCCACCCTCCCACCTATGATGTCCCTCTCCAAGGACCAGTCCCTCCTTAAAACATGTCCAAAGTATGTCAGACAAAGCCTCAGAATCCATGCCTCCACGGAACAGTCCATTTTAACCCTCTCCAGGTTGAATCTGTTCCTTTTCTTTACAGTCCATGGTTCACCCAACACACTTCTGCATCTCCACAGCTGGAAGGCATCAATTCTCCTTCTATCCATCCTAGTCATTGTTCAACTCTCTGACACATAACAAGTGATTGCAAAGACCATGACCTGTATCAGACGCACCTTAGTCTCCAGAGTGACACCATTGCTCTTTAGTACTTTGGAGAGGTCCCTAACAACAGACTTTCCCATCACAATATGTCAGGGAGAGAGAGATATAGGAAACGGACGAGCTGTGCACCTGAGTGATTCTCTTGCCCCTGCTGTGGGAGGAGGTAAGATGTTTGGCTTAGGACAGTTTGTCTGCAAGGCCATCAGATGTTTTGAGTGGCAGTCAGGTCAGAGTTCTGCTCATTTGAGAACTGACTGAGGCCTCAGGATGTAAGCTGGTCTAAGGACAGCACCTTGTCTGGTCCAGGTGATGTTGTAGCGTTGGACACCTAATCTGAGATGAAGTTTCTGCTGACGTCATAGGATCCAAGGGCAGTCTTCCTGTCTGAGGAGGTTGTTTATTCTAGTCTAGATTTTGGGCATAGGCAGAATACCCAGGGAGGAAGGATTAACAAGCATGAAGAGCCCATACAATATGAGATGCATGCTTCATGGAGGATTTATTTCTCCAAGTTTTCCTGGGATACGTGGCAATTTATTCCTAGGATTCCCAGTAAGAGGAAAAGATTCCCATCAGAGGTGATGTGTCCATTAATTCAGTGGTCAGTTACAGACCAGGCATTGCACAATCCACCATATCCTTAAGGGGGTCTCTGAGAGTGGAGCTGAGCACACTCCTAGCATCTGAAACAAAGCGACATAGGCCTGGAATCAGGCAGAGTTCAGGTGAGGTATGGGATCATTGCCAGCCATTGAGCGGTATGGATGAAGTCCCCTCCCTGATCCCCAGTTGATGGGATGGATACACAAGGAAAGAGTGCATCTTTCTTACCAGACAGCTGCTATTGTGGACACTGCTCTAGTTTCAAGTTCCTGAGCTGGTTAGATCACCTTTCAAAATGGCCAAGTTGCTTTTCTTACAATATTTTGTGCTTTCAGTCCTCTTACTCTTTTACTTAAGTTTCTTCCTTCAGTTGGTGTTAGAAGCACCTTTCTATCTTTTTCTTTTCAATATGAGAGTTCAGAATTCTCCTCCTTTGTTTTCTTGTGTCTTGATTGAAGAGGGTTGTGGACTGCTGTCTGCCCAATGTGTCATCATATATAGACATCTTAACATATTTTGATAAGGGACAGAATGACTAGAAGGAAACTCAACAAACATGCAGAAGAATGGAACAATAAAATTAACCAACTGAAACTTGTAACAATACACAGAATACTCCATTCAAAAAGAACACAATATACATTCTTCTTCTGTTGTTGTTGTTTGGTACCGTTGGGTTAAGGAAGACTCATACCAACCCTATGAACAACAGATATGAACCCTGTCCTATCCTGTGCCATCCTCATCATTTCTGACATACTTGTTTGAGCCCATTGCTATAGTTACGTGTCAATCCGTCTGGCTGAGCATTTCCTTTCTTTTGCCAAACGTCTTCCTTTTAAGAATGATGTTTCTCTCTCTTCAAGGAATTCCTCTCCTAGAAAAGTGCTCAAAATATGTGAGACGATGCTTTATGACATTTGCTTCCAAGAAGGAGTCTGGCTGCACTTTCTCCGAGGCTTATCTGTTCTTCTGACAGTCCATTGGATATTCAGTACGTGAGATTGACTCAGGGTAGGGCAGGCTTCAAACCCTCATATGGTCACTATGAGTCGTAGGTGACTTGATGGTACATGAATGACAACAACAACAACAACAAACAACTCCAACACGAGTGCCGGAGAAGCCCTGGCATCATTGCTCCTTAATTATTGAGAGAGGTCCCTGCCTGCAGATTGTCCCAGTGCAATATGTCTCCCGACCTGACTGTTGCTACTAAGGGTGTTGATTGTGCGTCAAAGTAAGATGAGATAATTGACAATTTTAATATTTTCTCTATCTATCATAATGTTGACTATAGATCCATTTGTATGAAACGTACATATGAAATATTTTCCAGGATAGATGATATTATTGCACAAAGTAAGATTTTTGAAATTTGTGGTAAAAAAATCCACCACATTGAAGTACTACCAAACATTTTTTCAGATCACAATGTTGTATAATTAGAAATCAACAATAGGAAGATAAGGGAAAAATAAGTACACAAAAACTACATAATGTCCAGCTTGCACCATATTGGATTATATCATTCTTGTTATACATCATTGAGTCTGAAGTGACACATAGATGACCTTCGTGTAGATTATCAGGAAGATTGCCTGTTTTTCTCCATCAGAACAGCTGGTGGATTTGAACGGCACGATTTTGGGTTGGCAGCACAACTCTTCACGACTAAACCATTAGAGTTCCTTTATAGAAGAATAAAAGAAATTTTAAAAATATCTTGCCGCAAATAAGAATGAAAGCACAACATATTAAAATATCCGAGACAGCACAAAAGCAGTGTTCACAGGTCAGTTTCTAGAAATAAACACACATGTAAACACATCAAAATCAGTACCTTAACTCCAACAGTTAGAATAAAGAATAACCATTAAACCCTACAGTCTGTGAGGAAAAGGAAATAATAATGACTAGAGTCCAAACAAATGAAACATGAAGGAGAACACGATAGAAAGAATCAGCAAGATCAGAAGTCAGTTCTTTGGATAGATTAATAAAATCTGAAAGTTCCTGGCATAGCTAGCAGGGTAAAACAAAGAGGTGCAGAGAACACAGATAAGAAATAAAATACGTCATGTTCCAACAGAACCAACTGAAAGAAAAAGGGTACTGAAAGACTGTGAAAAACTGCATGCCATCAAATTTGAAAACCTGTAACAAATGGACACATTTTTAGAACCCCCTTACCTAGCTAAAGCAAAACAGACATTAATAGAATGTTTGAATAGACCTATCACAAAAGAATAAATTGAGCTGTTCATGAAAGCACTCCTAGTTAAAAAAAATCCTGACCCAGATGGCTTCATTGGTGAATTCTACCAAATATTCAGAGAAGATCTGATACTAATTCTACTCTAATATTTTCAGAATATAGAAAAAGATGGAATAAGCTCAATTCATTCTGCAATGCCAGTATAATCTTGATACCAAAACCCGGCAAAGGCAACACTAAAAAAACAAAAAACAAGAAAAACCAATAGAAGGATAGCACAATATCCTTCATGAGTATAGATACAAAATTCTTCAAAGAATCCTAACCAAAAGAACCCAATATTGCTGTTGTTGTTGTTAGGTGCTGCTGAGTTGAGCAGCCAACCTAAACTCTGCCCTATCCCATGCTATACTCATGATGATTAGACTAGAACCCCATTGTTTAAGTCACTACAACAAACCAACTCATTGAAGGTCTTCTACTTCACTGACCCTCCATCTTCCTAAGCATTATGTCCCTTACCAAGGAATGGTATTACCTAACTTCGTGCCCAAGATATGAAAATGAAGCTCACCGTGCTTTTTCCCAACGACCACTCTGGTTGCACTTTTTCCAAGGCTTATCTGTATGTTCTTTTGGCCATCCATGTGATATCCAACACTCTTCTTCAACAATGCAACTCAAAGACATCAACTCTTCTTGTGTCATCCATCCAACAGTACGCTATTGTATTAAGTGCCAACGAGTTGCTTGCCACTCATAGTGACATTATGTACAACTCTGTGTAAAGCTCTGAACCCTGCTTTATCCTGTGCCAATCTCATCGTCTCTGACACACTCATTCTCATTACCCCAGTCACTGAGTCAATCATCTCATACAGGATCTTCCCCTCTTGCACTGTCTTTCCACCACCAAAGCATGATAACAGATAGAAAAAAAACAACACAATGTCATTAATCAGGATTCATCTTAAGGATGAAAAGGTGGTGCACACACAATATATCTACCACATCAGTAAAATGAAGGAAAAGCCATTTGGTAAAATTTGACAGCTTTCCTGAAAATCACTCAATACTGGAATAGAAGTGGAATTCTTCAACATTATTAAGAGCACCAATGGCTAGCATTCCTTTTAGTGGATGGATACTGAAGGCATTTCCTTTGCAAACATGTATCACAAAGATGCACTCTATCACCATACTTACTCAAAATTATATAGAAAGTCCAAGTCAAAGAAATGGGACGTAGGGAGCTCTGGTGGCCTAGTGGCAAGAAGCTGAGTTGCAATCTCAAATGCACATGGTTCAAAACTACCAGCTGCTTTGTGAGAAAAAGATGAGCAATCTCCTCCAGTGCAATTAACAGCTTCTGTAAACCTACTGGAGGGTCCGTTATGGGTTGGTTTCAACTCGATGGAATACAATAATATCAGCAACAACAAATCAGAGTAATAAGGCAAGAAAATGAAATAAAAGAAATCAAAAGTGACAGAGTAAACAGAGCTGTCTCTATTTGCAGATGATATAATACAACAGTTGCTTCAGAGGAGTAAGATGGATAGTATAGTCTCATGAGATTTACGTTGTTGTTGTTGTTATGTGCCGTCGAATCGTTTCCGACTCATAGGGACCCTATGCACAACAGC